CACCTGTGGCATGGGGCCCCAGGCAATTGCTACCTTCCAACACCAGCCCTGTCTTTTATATGCAGAAAAAACAGGTGTATCACAGGTGGTGCATGGAGTTTTTATAGCATGTTGGGGGGGAACCTCAAAAAAATGGTTGAGAACCCCTGATCTAAACAATACAGTAACTGGTTGGGTAACATGCTTTGCCTTCTGTTTAGGGCTTATTTTGAAGTGCAATGTACTAGTAGGACTGATTGAACACCAGAATATAGTCAGTTTCACTGGCACTTGCTAAATATATTCATGTTCCAATATTTGACCAGCTATAGAGCTGTTTGAGTTCTGTAGGACAGTATTTATCAGATAAATCTGTAAATACTGGTGAAGTTTGTCAAGTAAGTGACTTGACTGAATAGTTACTTTTAAAGTATTGTATCCATTCCTTTCCTGGCTTCACACCACTTTTCCTTCCTCTAATAGATCATGCTGTTCTTTGCATTCCATTTCCTGTTCTCTTGATTCTACTCCTCCCCACCCCACACATAGCCCTCCTCCTTTCCGTGTGTTCCGTTTTCTACTTTTGCTGCTCCTTTCCTCTGCTTTGAAAAGTGTGCTGTGAGAGTGGGCAAATGTATGCCTATCCCACACAGACCCATCCTCACATGGGTCTTGGAAATTGTTAGCCACTTGATACTGCAGGGACTAGCCACTGGACCAATGCAAAGTTGGGCAGGAGCAGGCACTGTCTGGAAAAAGCCAGCTTTCTCTCAGCTACTGAAAAAAGGAGAGAGTTAGAATTCCTACCAGTGTGTTGCACCTGGACCCTGCCTAGGGATTGGTATATCAGCCTCTTGCCACTAGGTGTGGCATGTTTGAAGCCAACCCAACTCCTGGGGAAAGGAACACCCTTTTCTCCCATTCCCCAATCACCACCCCCTTCCAGATCTTCCTGACTGCTATGAAGGTTGGTAGTGCTGTCCACTACTCTACCACTCCCTCAGCTTTCTAGCTTTTGCAGGGGGAGTGTCTCCAGTACCTTATCCCTCACCCACATCTGTTTTGGGATCTTCTTCCCCAGTAAATAATTCCACTACCTGCCGAGACTGTTTAGGTTAGCTTAACTATGTCACCCAGGGGTGTGGATTTTTCACACCCATTAGCAACTTAACTGAGTCAACTTAAATTTTAGTTTAGGCCTGGCCTTAAGTCACTCTGGGGAAATTACTCCATCCTCAGCCTCCTTGAAACCAGGAGTCTAAAGAAAGAGGCAGGTTTGATTTCCCTGCTGGATGACAGACTTGTAAGTTGCCAGGGAGGGCACCTGCTCCAACTCTGTACCATTTTGCTATCTCTAGACACCTTCTAGATTTTTAATAACTTTAAGCAGCTTGCCACTTAAGTTTGTTTTGAAACAGTTAAATAAAACTCCTAATGGTCATCTCTACCCTTTCCCTTTGCTTTCCCCAAGCTAGACCAGCACACCACTCCTCCCAGTCCTTTCCCACCTCCAACCTATCCTACTCACACCCTGACCACCTTCCATCACAGTGTAAAAGCACATGGTCTCAACTCCCAACAAGAAGCTTAGCTTATGAAGCAGAGGTCAGACACCCATCCTGCTTGATAGTTAGGGCCCAAAGACATTCAAGAACAAGCAGAATCTAAGCTTTTGTTTAAAGTACTTACCTAATCCTTGAGCCACAATTGGAAGGTTACACAATCATAATCAACCCTGTAAACAGCTTGAAACAGTGATTGAAATGCTGCTTCCCACTAAGTGCACTGGGATGTTAATGCCACTTTAATGTCAGCATAACCATTCAATTACAGGTTTCAACAGAGTTGGGGAAGAGACCAGAAGTGAAATCCACAAAGAAAGAAACAGAGGGAAGACAGAGGGAGTAGGAACATCTGTGGTCCTAAAAGGGAGCCAATTTTCTGACTACATGATGCTACTTCTAGATGAAATATTGATATAATAAGCAGTGAAAAGTTTAGTTACTACACTGAGACCATGCTCTGTCTAACCTTGATGTTCATGCAAGTCTCTCAAAGACCCCAGGGGAAACTTCATCACAGATTGAAGGCTGGGCAGTATTGTAATTTTAAGTTTATTCCTGGCCCAGAGCCCATAAGAACTCTGTCCTCCCCACAACCCAGTTGAAAGGGGCTTTGTCTACACTGATTCAGAGAAGGCCTTCTGGTCATTAAGACAATTCCATTGAGCTAATAGCTGAAGAAAACACGGTTTTTGTCCATGCCAATAATCTCAGTGTACTGCAAGAGAGCTTCTGAGAAGTTAAATAACTTCTGCTTTCCTCCACATGTTCTAAACAGAAGGTGGCATTTTAGAACAGAAGTACACAAGGGAAGCCAAGTGAGACTTCATGGTTGCTGTGAAGTGTATTACAAAAATACATGCAGGTTCTAGTTTTCCTCATTTTTACTGGAGAATTTAAATTTAAGGTGCCCCTTAAAAGCCACTCTCTTCTAGTGAAAAGTTTCCAAGACTCCAACAGGAGAGACTGCCTCAGACATTTATAACTCTCCCCCCTCATCTTTCCCCTGCCAAACTAGTGATGGTGGTCTGATCTAAGGGCAAGACCACTACATTGTTCAGTGTGCAGGAGAAGTATAGCAAGCATGGCAATTTTAAAAGGCAATGCTCCTATTAAAAGCCATCACAGACACAAAAGTTTACGTTTTGTAACGCCAGCCAAGGGGCTTAATCAATGCTGGGGCAGTTTACTGCTATAAATGGATATTCACACAGCTTGGCTAATATCTTGGAAAAATGGCTAACACTAACTAGTGCTAGCTAAAGAAAGTGTAAAGTGGGCTCTGAGTCATGGTGGGGTGTGCCAGATAAGTATAACTCAATAGGTTTCTGTTTTAAATTAATTTGAATTGGCACAACACTGTTAGAAGTCTGCATGTCGCAGCAGATACCACACTAAGCTAGTGTCAGTCATTTCTATGATGATGGTGAGCATTCTGTTCTCCCACAAGAGCGCTAACATGCCAAGTCCCTTAGGGCTCACTGCTCCAAGATGCAAGGTACAACCATTAAAAGAAAACTATCAACATGGACTGTGATTAAGGACATGCAGCCTGTGTTTCATCTAGAAATCATGGCTGTCTCACAGGTAATAGCATGACTCTGGGAGACTGGATCATGAAAGATCAGCTGTCTGAAACTGACTCCAGAAAAGACTGAAGCAATGCTAACTGGAAGAGGTAATCTTGTTTGATCACCAGCAGTTGATATGCATTACCTGAACGTTCATTTGTTCAGTACTTCCATGAAATATTCAATATAGTTTATTTTGACATTTTGTTCCATTTTAAGGCTACTGCTATTTCTAACTTTTGTTTCTCTTCCTTCCCCATCCTCCTTTTTGTTTCACCACCCTTTTTCCTAAGTTTGTGCATCACCTCCTTCCTCCCCTCTATTTTATTCCCTGCAACTCACATTTTCCCCAACCCTCTTGCAAGCTTCACTGAGACTCCATCCCTCAATCAGTCTGTTAAAATGATCAGCAGTTAAGCAGTGCTGACATAAGCTTTAGAGTTCAAATTCAAAGAGTTTACCCCCCCTCCATCATTACTTTAGCTGCCTGCAGACTCAGGAAGACAACAGCACATCATGACAGGTTTCAGAGTAGCAACCGTGTTAGTCTGTATTCGCAAAAAGAAAAGGAGTACTTGTGGCACCTTAGAGACTAACCAATTTATTTGAGCATAAGCTTTTGTGAGCTACAGCTCAATTCATTGGATGCATTCAGTGGAAAATACAGTGGGGAGATTTATATACATAGAACATGAAACAATGGGTGTTACCATACACACTGTAAAGAGAAAAAAGAAAAGGAGGTCTCTAGGGTGCCACAAGTACAACAAATCCACTCGAGCATAAGCTTTCATGAGCTACAGCTGCATCCGATGAAGTGAGCTGTAGCTCACGAAAGCCCACACTCAAACAAACTTGCTACTCTCTCAGGTGCCACAAGTACTCCTTTTCTCTTTGCGAATACAGACCAACATGGCTGCTACTCTGAAAACTGTAAAGACAGTGATCACTTAAGGTGAGCTATTACCAGCAGGAGAGTGGGGGGGAGCTTTTTATAGTGATAATCAAGGTGGGCCATTTCCAGCAGTTGACAATAACATCTGAGGAACGGGGGGGGGGGGGGGGTCACATCTGGAAAGTTCTCTTTGCAACCATGGAGGCTAGACAGACCAAGTCAGCCATATAAGTAGACAGAGACCAGATCCTGCCCACAGGTCAGGTATTTGGCTTAAGGCAATCTGTTTTCGTGCCCTTACACACTCCCTTAGTACTTCACTGGAGCTGTGGGTATTAAGCTGATGTTGCCTTTTCCTCCCTACTGTATCAACACACAATCCTAGAGTACAGGGAGCATTTTGTTTAAGGCATTTGGGGTTTCAGCTTTCAAAGACACTGAAGTCACTCAGCCGCTCCAGGAGAGCTATTCTGCGTTGCCTCCACAGGTCTCACGTGGCTAGGGTCAGTAGTCACGGTGCCCTGGGGAGGGGCCACGGTGTGTTAGTTACAGCACCAGCCCTGCCCCCGTGGTACAGGCACAGTCAAGACACACACACACACAGGGGAATTTAAAGCAGGGGGCAGGCAGCAGAGCAGGGAGCGAAGACAGGGACAGGGCAAAGAGCGCAGCACAAGGGGGAGGCAAGTGACAGACCTATCCCCGGGCAGAGCCCAGCCAGGGGCTCCAGGACGGGCAGCCAGCCCCACCGGTGGGGGGGGGGTCATCCGCCCCCCAGCAGGGGTGGCTCAGCCAGCAGCCCCTTGGCAAGGAATAGGGATGTTTGGGGGTCACAGCCCCACTGGGAGGAGGATCCAGCCCGGGGAAGGGGCGAAGCGGCCCCAAGGGAGAGGGAGCGGGGGGGGGTCTCAGTCCCCGGTAGGGAAGCAGCCCCCAGAGGGGGGGGCCTGAGCCACCAGGGCGCCCCACAGCGAGCCGAGCCCCGCCCCATACCTTCCTCTTCTCCTCCACCTCCTCGGGCAGCGCAGCCATAACGCCCGCCGCTGCTCACCCACAGCCGCCCCCTTCCCTCAGGGCCCGCGGCGGCTCATATAGGCTCAGGCCACCTGACCCACGCGAGCGGGGCCGGGCGCCGCCTCCTCAGCGCCTCCCCCACCTTCCCAGCAGCACGCGCGCGGCCCACCATAGAGACCTAAACGTGTTTCCCAGAAGGGGGAGCACGCGCCCGGCTTGGGGAGGCCATTTTGGCTCCGGGCGGGAAAGCCCGGCTAGGCATGTACGCTCGGCGACCCTGCCCTTAGTTGGGAAGTGGGCGTCACCCGTCTCCGTCACGTGTTCACACCCCCCCTCTCCTATCACAACTGCAACCTTCCGCTGACGTAAATCTCAACCGCCGAGCTCCGCGCCGAGGAGGGAGGCGAAATGCATTGTGGGTGTTGTAGTTCTTCGGATCTAAGCTCTGTACAGCCGATAGGCTGAGGGAAGGAGGGAGAGAACAACAAATCCCGAGAGGCGGCGCGCTGTTCTGGCGGGAAGGTAGCGGCAGGCCGGGCGCTGAGTGAGCGGAGGTAACGGCGTTAACGGTTGGAGGGAGAGCGTTCGGCTGGGGAGCGGGGCAAGGGCCCCGAGTCTGGCGAGAGAGACGGGTTCGGCTGGGCTGAGCCGTGTCCCCCTCTGGCCGGGCCCTCGGTGGGGCAACAGCCTCCCGCTGCCCCGAGCCGCGTGGAGACAGAGTTCTCCTCAGGGAAGGAGGCACTGTACTAACAGCATCCAGCCCTCTTCACCCCGGACCTCCCAGCGCTTGGCAAAGGAGGACAGCGCCGTCATCCCACACTTTATAGATGGGGAAACTGAGGCACGGAGCCAGGAAAGTGACTTGGCCATGGCCACCCCGCAGCCCAGTGACTGGGCTGGGAACGGAACCGAGATCTCCCGCCTCCCAGTTTGCCGTTGTAGTCACCAGGCTAGGCTGCCTCACTGCAACACACATCCCCAGAGAGACCTTTTAACTTTCTCTGTTAAAGTCAACATCCAGGAAGGGGGACTCTCACCTCAATGCAGTGAAAACTGGCAACACGTGTTGCCTAGTGGTTAGAGCACTCGACTGCTCAGGGATCTTGGGCAAATAATTTTGCCTTTTGTGCCTCAGTTTCCCCATTTGTGAAACGGGGGTAATGTTACTGACATTCTTTATAAAGGGCTTTGAGCGCTATGGATGAAAAGTACAATATCAGAACTAGATACTATTGTTATAAATAAGTTAAGTAATGCTCATTGCAGTTACCACTGAGGTGGCATTAGTGGCTTGTATTTGCCACCCAGTAGGCAGCAGTCTTCTTGGCATACGTGCAACTCTAAGCCACGTGACCAGGATTTATCACTGAATTTGAAGGAGTAGGACTAGATTTTTTTTTTTTAATTGTCTCTCTGTACAGTGAGTTTAGGCAGAGTTTAATTTTCCTTTGTAAGTGATCATGGGTTCTTTACATACAAACATCATGTGATTCAGGGCATAGAGCTTAGTATTCTCCTTCATAAAAACTCAAAAATGTCCTTTAGTTTGTATTCGTCATAAGACTTTCTTCTGTATGTCGGCATGAGAGGTCAATGGGCACGTGCATGCTAGCAGGTAGGTTATAAATTTCCTCCAATCCCTAAAATTGGTAGTGTGAGCAAGGGAGAATGGATTATCACCCTACCCAGATTTTTGTAATGAAACAATGCTTCCCTGAAATAACTTGCTTCTGGTAACAATGGCTGACCTTTAGATATCAATTTGCTATGCTCACCACTTCACATCATTTCATACACAAGATAGTATATTTTGACAGTCTTTAGAATTTATATCTCTTTCATAATTTACAAACATCACTCCTTATTCTTTGTCTAGCAAGTAGCAAATTATGACCGGTAACTGACCTAAATCAGAGACTGGAAATAATTCTATTAAAAATGAAGAGTGGTCACAGGATTAAAGAATAGTACCTACTGGCAAGAACAGATTGTTTTAATTAATTCTCTATTCAGTTAAGCTTCTGTTCAGTGATAGCAAACATGAAATATAAGGCTCACAAGAAGCCCAAGGTGGACTGATTTTATAATTGTGACTGAGAAGAACTGAAACAGATGTGTATTTAATGCAAACTACAGTACTTCTTTACACTACCAGAAAGAATAAATGTATTACTAAAAAGAAGGGATCCAGCCCCTACTGTAGGAAGAGCAAAACTGGAGAAAAACATCCTGCCACCAAATAAAAATAAGAAGTAATACAAAAATTGATATTGTTCAGGTTTTACTCAAAGCTTGTGCAATTAATTTCAATGAGATTGAACTGGGCAGAATTTAGCCCATTACATAAAATCAATCTACATGGTTACTACTCATGATCTAATTTTGGCAATAGTTGCACACCTTGTCTTAGTAAGAAAATGATTGGAATGGATTGGATTGCCCTTCCCTACTACACCTGACTGCTCTATTCTTGTGTGCAGGCAGGAAACTAAACTTGACAAGAGTCTGAATGTCAGGATGCTCAGAGCAAGATTCATGTCAATTTCCCATTGTTGCACACTGGAAAAGAGCTAACAGATATAAGAGGACATGGCAAACATAACAGGACACAACACAATCCTAATTTTTTTTTTAAGTAGATCAAGATTTTGACTTATCCCTTTAAGCTTGGATACTGTCATCTCTGCTATACAAATGTAATAAATCGGGAAATTGTATACTTTGGTATTCAAAATGTCTTAGTAGGAAAGGTTTCCTTTTTAAAAGTACTTTGTTTTTATTCTAAACCAGAAAAAATGATAATAGCTATATTGACCAGGAAGTTATGGTTTCTTTTTCATTTCCACTACATTCCTTATGGTTAACTTATATTATACAAACCAGTCCAAACAATTCTAGGATGGAACAGCTTGTATTGTGATTTTTCTTGTTTGGTTTTTTTTTTCCTCTCTTTCTCTTTTATAGTCCACGACATAATCCTAAAATTACTAGCAATTCCCTTGATGAATTGCTAGTAAGGGAAGCACCTTAACTGGGACTGCATAAAGTCCTTTGTCACTAGGATTGCTCCATCTACTAAGCTGTAAGCGCTTTTGGGCACAGATCTTGCAAGTTGTTCTGTGAGCCCCATTGACTTCATCGGGACTCCGTATGAGCACAGGGATGTCCCTGTCTAGACTAATTTATAAGATCAAGACCTTTGTATTTTTTTTCCTAGTACTCCTACTGTTTGAACAGCGTGTGGAGTGTTTGAGAAATGCAGTGAATGAAATGAAAAATACTGAAGTGTTTCAAGAACAAAGCAGTCGTGTTAGCTTGTAATACATATTGCCTGCATGTTTTATTTGCAAAACATGGAATGAAGTAACTTTGATTGCTAAGTGGATAGCTCTCAGTAGAGGAAACTTAAGCCCTAATAGTGCAAAGACTTGTGCCTATGTTTAATTTTAAGCATACTAGGAAACAGTTATTTCAGTGCAACTACTCAGGGTCAGAACCAAAAATTGCAACTACAACATACTTTTCAGAGCCAGACTATAAGCTAGACTATCTTGGTCTGCAGCTTCTATTAAAGAAATATCCTAAAATGTCTTAGCTTAAAAATAGGACTTGTTTTATTCTCAGTTAGAAAAAAGATCTAAATTTTTAATTTAAAATATATATTTTCCAAAACAGCTTAAACTGGTATTTGAAGATTGCGAATATTTTTTATTTCCCTTCTCTCAGGCTTCTCCAAGTCTCAGCTCTCCAGATTCTAGGCTGTACATAAAACTGCTGGCTGCTTTCTCACATGTACCAAGAACAAACAGATCCCCACCATTCCCAAAGAGCTCATCTTCCCTCTCTAGTCAGTTAATTCTGCTCCAGGACTTGCTTCTGTCTAGCCCATGTAGCTTGTCTCTTTCTCCCTGCATGTAGTACCATCTTCTCTGTACCCTCCTACAGTTTTGCTACTGTAAGAGGCAGAGCCTTCTGCACTGCAGCTTCTCCCACTTGCAACAGCCTTCTCTCCACCTCATTTCAAATCAGAAAATAATTTTTCCTCTTGTCTATACCTCTTATTTTATCTTTCCATTTGCTATTATTTCTCACTATTACTGTATTGTTTAACTCAAAGTGGTTGAAGTTCAGTTGATATGAAAGGCACTAATGAATACTGTGCAGCTTTAATTTGTAAAGGGAGATGATAGCTTGATGATACTAAAGAGTTGCAGTAACTCCTCAAATCATGGAAATTCTTTTTCTACAGTGGGAAATTATGGAAGGTTATGAATGCTCCTAACGGAAGAAAGAAAACTCTGTTTAACCATCTATAAATGCTGCTTCAGGGAATGAAATCCCTCAAGCTATTAACCAGAAAATCTGGGAGACTAAAAATGCTGTTCACAGAACATTTTTGCAAAAATCAAGTCCCATGTGTGTGCCTGTGTCTCTCCTCCTACCTTTGTAGCAAGAAGAAAAAAGAGAATGGTTATGAACAAGTTGACCAAGAAAGATACATGAACTTGGTCCGTTCTGTCACATCTTCCAAAGCCAGCCCTCAGACACCGGAAACATTGTTTGAAGAAGATAATCTGATATATGGACCAGTGAGTAAATTTAAGCCTCCAGTTAAGGATGTTGAAGCAAAAATTCCAAAAAACTGGGTCCCTCTGATAAACTCCAATAAGAGAGCTTTGCCTTCAAACAGTGACGGAAAGCACCTGCTGAAAATCAGTTTACAAAGGCACAAGGTGCCCAGTGTGACGAGTGTTCTTCAGCAAACCATGCCTTTGGACCAGGCATTCTACCTGAAGAGGTGGAAGCAGCGGATGATTCTGGAACTTGGAAAAGATGGTTTTGCAGAATATACTAAAAGTAAGTCTAACCAAAGTGCTTCTGAAAATAATGGGCCGTGCTCAATAACATAGCTGCCGGATCTGGCCCTAGAAGACACACACTTTGCATATCCATATAGCAGCGTCCATTTCAGAATCCCAAAGCACTTCACAAGAATGCCTGGTATTAATGGACCACATTTTGAGGCCTTCCCTGATTGCTTATTCAGGGACACTCCCATTGACTACAAAAACCACAGGGGTTGGACCAATAACCTAATAGTACTTAGTGGTAAAATGGGATTCGAATTTAGGAG